AACAAATGTAATTTACACAACAACTGAAATATTTTATTAAAGTAAAATAATGTGAATAAATGATGGTTAATAAGTGATAAGCAGTAATGGGCAGTCACTACCATCATGGGACTTTATTAATTGTTTTATTCTGTGTTGTTACAGCATTCAACCCACATAATGCATAGTGCAGGAAGCAGGAGGATAGGGTTATGGTCTGATTTGCCAAAGGCAGGGCGAGGGAGGGCTTTGTATGTGTTTCTGTGTGTGGAATGAAGGTGATCTAGAGTTTTGTCACCTCTAGTTGCACATGTGACATGCTGGTAAATATTTGGTCAAGCGGATTTCAGTTTCCCTGCATTAAAATCACCGGCCATGAGAAACGGCGCCTCTGAATGTGCATTTTCATGTTTGCTTATGGCCCTATACAGCTCGTTGAATACGGTCTTAGTGCCAGCATCAGTTTGAGATGGTAAATAGACAGCTATGAAAAATATAGATGAAAACTCTCTTGGTAGATTGTATGGTTTGCAGCTTATCATGAGGTATTCTAACTCAGGCGAGCAAAAACTAGAGACTTCCTTAATATTAGAGATTGTGCACCAGCTTTTGTTAACAAAGAGACACACCCCTCCTCCCTTCATCTTACCCGAGTCTGCCGTCCGGTCTTGACAATGCATAGAAAATCCAGCGAGATATATCCAGGTCCTCGTTCAGCCACGACTCTGAGAAACGTAGGATATCAGGTCCCGTTGATAGGATAGTCTCCGAACGGAGCTCATCCAGTTTGTTCTCAAGTGATTGCATGTTCGCCAATAGAACAGAGGGCATTGGCGGTCTATTTGCTTGCCGACGAAGTCTCATCATGATGCCGGCTCGCCTGTCTCTCTTTCGTCACTGCTTCCTCTTTCGAGTCCCAGGGACAAGGGCCTAGTCCGGAGTAAGCAGAACGTCCAGAGAGGCCGACTCGTATGTCAACCCCTTGATCACAACAGGAAGTCATCTCACACGCAACGATTATTTGGAGAAGCCCTCTAACAGGCCTTAATGGTCGCCCGGCCAGGCCTGCGGTTCCTCTGACCAGCAATATACAACTTCCTCTTGGGTCGCTTGGGACCTCGGGGCCCTTGTCTCAACTCTAAGGTGTTCACGGGTCGGCGAGGTTATCAGGCCAGAGAATCTACAAGAACCTACTCCTCTTTTATGATCCTATGATTTGATAAGATTTGATAAAGGCCCTTCCCCTACGTGCTCTTGATTGGTGGGCGGTTGTATCCTCAGTCGTGATTGGCTGAGGAAAGACCTGGAGTGGGGATGCCACGGATTTACTTTTTTGTTCACTGTGTATGGGGTTAGGCTGTTTTTAATGGCTACATCCTTTTCATGGACTGTGGTTCAGACAAGTGTGTGTGCATGTGTTTGTGTGTGTGTATGGACCGCATTGTGTCTCAAAATAGTCATCTGGAGTGCACTGAGAGTCTGAAACAGATAGCTGGATTTCCCATGGGTAGGCCAGTGGCTGGGGGCCAGGAAGGGAGGTCTCTGGGCCCCGTCTGGGCCAGAGTGGGGGAAAGGGGCCTGGTTCTCATGACACCTGACCCAGTCCACATCCTGTCTCCAGCCCCACAGCGTGGTGTGGTCAGGGGGCTGAGCCGGGCCAGTGGAGAGCCTCTGACCCAAAGGAGATCTGGGTGGCTCTCTGGCTGGACCTAAAGACAGCAGGCACAAGCACAGAGGGGGAAACACATTGATCTCACACCCTACTCAAGAGAAGCATTGGAGGGTTTCCCTTTCATGTTTGTGTCCTGGTTTCTCAGGATGGACACAGCCACTTCGAGCACTGCTCCTTATAATGTACTGTATACTTTTGTATTATACTAAGTACTGAATGGTTGTACAAACATTGTGTTTGTTTGATGGATCCTGTTTCATAAAAGTGGTAGCCCCCTCTACTGGTCAGGAGAAGAGTACAGTTAGAGTAAATCATTTTGATGGTTGTCTGCTATTATTGTCCCCCCAGGATGAAATCGGAAATATGGATCTGTCTCTGTCTGTTCGTACGTATATCGAAGACACCAATGGCCCGATTTTGAAAACTTGGGTGAATGATGCATCTTGCCATAGAGATACACATTTATAAAATTACACTGATTGGCCCAAGGGGGGCCCTATAGTAATCAACTGAAATTCCAAACTTTGAACAAGCATATCTCCTGTCCCCTTTGAGCTTGAATTGTTGTTACTAATTGATATATTCTGAATGAATTCATACTTTTGTTTTCTTGATGGTATATGTGTCGAATAATGTTACCTTGAGTGCAGTGGAGGCTCTTCAGAGGAGGAAGGGGAGGACCATCCTCCTCAGTGAATTTCATAAAAATAAAAATAATGAAACATTACAAAAGTTATCCTTTTTAGATAAAACTATACTAAATATATTCACATCACCAAATAATGGATTAAAACACACTGTTTTGCAATGAAGGTCTACAGTAGCATCAACAGCACTCTGAAGGCTAGCACGGAGGACAGCTAGTTTCCGTCCTCCTCTGGATACATTGACTTCAATACAAAACATGGGAGGCTCATGGTTCTCACCCCCTTCCATAGACTTACACAGTAATGATGACACCTTCTGGAGGATGTCCTCCAACCTATCAGAGCTCTTGCATTATGAACTGACATGTTGTCTACCCAATCAAACGATCAGAGAATGAATCTAGTACTGAAATCATAAACTACAGCTAGCTAGCACTGCAGTGCACAAAATGTGATGAGTAGTTGACTCAAAGAGAAAGATAATAGTTTAACAGTTTTGAACAAATCAATTCCTTTAAAAATGGAGAAGCAAGAGAGAAGGCGAGAGAGTTACCTATATTTCATTGTATTTTTTTTCCACTTTCACTTAGCTAGCGAATGCAGCTAGCTAGTTTAGCCTACTGAAACACCCGGCTCAAACAGAGAGGGATGTTATGTTAGCTAGCTGGCTATGCAACACTGGAACTCTTTCAAGACAAGGTAAACTAATTTATTGCCACGGGTGGCCCGCCGGTGTAACTGCTAAACTGATTGCTGACTGTACACTGTACTGCATGATTGAAGCAGGTTTACTAATGCGTTAGTTCTAGTAGCTATGTTGACTATGACATTAGCTAATATGGTGACAACGATGTAGGCTGTGTGTAGCGGTTAGCGCTTATGATATGAAGATTTGGCTTGGAAAGGTTTTTTCTTCTGATCACAGACAGCTGATGTGTTGTGCACTGAAGTCCACAAATGAAGGGAAAAGTTGAGATGAAGAGAGCATGTAGATGCGTGAAGGAATAGTACAATGAACAAATTATCATACTGTTTGTATGTGGCTGCTATGAAAGTGAAACTGTGCTTGCGTGTGATCAGGGGTGTATTCATTCCGCCAATTCTGTTGAAAAACGTATCTTAAACGGAAGCAAACTGAACGAAATGGGAATAAACATACCTGAATTTGTCCAATAGAAACTTTTGTTTGCAACTGTTGGACTAATGATTACACCCTAGATCAGCTAGATGCAGGCAAGAGTGTGCAAGGTGGTATTGAATATGTCACTGTCTGTCACTTTGATTACTCAAATGTCTCGTTGTAAACTTAGGCTAGGTTGTAGCAACCTCATGATGGGTATAGGGAAAATTTGAGTATCATGTAGTAGCTCAAACCTATCGATGATACATTGAGCTGAGTGAATGGAATATGAATGACAGTCATCCAATATGCTGTAATAGAAATAAGGCCATGCTCATAAAATAAATGATCATCCTCCCTCATCTTAAACGGCACCGAGCCCACTGCTCGAGTGAACATGTGTGTTGAGTTGATGATGGTTGACACCTTGAAAATGGCACAGGGCACAGAGAGCAACTTAGTGAAAATATCATCTTTTAATTATTGATATGACTTGGTAATTGAAAAGTTCATAGCTTTTCCTGATTACATACAAAGTTGAGTACAATTCAAATTCAACGGCCTTACATAGGGCAAATAATTAATGGTACCAATCCTTCATAATAATGGTGTAACAATTTAACTCTGGCTTCTCATGTCTAAGTATCACAATGTAGCTTACACTTATAGCCTGTGCATAGATTCAAAAACAAAAGGGCATATTGAGCATTTCCTATGTAGAACACGGATATATCAACAATTGTTGTGAATGAGACCAGATATAGGGCTACTTTGTCTCAGAAATATATTACAGCATTTTATAAGATGTTCAATTCATAAATCAAATAAATAAATACATTTAAAATGAATTAACAACCTAGCTAACCAATACATTTATAATTTGATAAATAAATACATAAATACATTAAATTAATAAATACACAAATATGTTTATCGTGAAAGCAATGTTTGAGGGGAATTAAGAGCTAATTGGCATATTAAATAATACTGGAATGTAAATGAATACGAATCCATAAAGAATTATAGAATAAAAAATATGAACATTTTAATGTTATTCAGTCCTCATCGTCGGTTATCTTCTATGTTCTTTACAACCATCATTGCCATTATTATTGCTCTCTATCAAAAGGCAGGAAGAGGAAGACGAGTGGTGAGGAGTGCAGTCTTTGACCAGGATTGTGTTCATTAGGCACCAAATGGAAGAAAACAGACTGAAACAAGGTGAGAGACTATCTGGATAAGTCCAATAATTAAAAAAAAGTTGAACCCTCATTTTCGTTTTCAGTTGTGAAGTGTTTTAAAACATTTCTGTTACATGCCCTAATGTTTCCCAACTCCAGTCCTCGAGTACCCCCAACAGATTCAACTTGTCAACTAATCATCAAGCCCTTGATGAGTTGAATGATGTGTATTTGTCTGGGACTACAACAAATATGTGTACTGTTGGGGGAACTCAAGGACTGGAGTTGGGAAACACTGCCCGAATGAACACAACATTGGTCTCTCTTGTAAAGGAGATGTTATCTCAGTGAAACAGACCTGGGTAAAGAAGCTGATATCGTGTAAATAAGCTGATCCCTGATCAGTCCTCAGGACAGCAGTCCCCTTCGTCTCCGGAGCCCTTGAAGCAGGCCGACTCGTAATGCCTGATCAGGTAGGACTTGAGTGCAAAGCTCTTGCCGCAGCGCTTGCAATCATAATGCTTGAAGGCCGAGTGCGTCTGCATGTGGGCACGCAGGTTGGAGCGGTCCGCAAACGCTTTGCCGCAGTGGGCGCAGGCGAACGGCTTCTCGCCCGTGTGCGAGCGCATGTGACCCTGCAGCAGCCACGGTCGGCTAAACGCCTTGCCGCACACTCCACACTCATGCCGCAGGTCGTGGGTGAGCATGTGCATGGCCAGCGCTGGCATGGACACGTAGGCCTTGTGGCAAGTGGGGCACTTCCTGGCCTGCTGGCCTTCCAGGCTGCGATGTGTCTGCTTGTGGCGGCTCAGGTTGGACGAGGTGGCGTAGGTCTTGCTGCATTCGCTGCACGTGTGGCGCCCTGGTCCCTTAGACTTTCCAGACTTCCCTTTGGCAGGCTTGGCCCCTGTGGAGACCACTTCTGCAATGCTGTTTCTCTCCTCACCTTCCTTTTTTGTTTGCCTGTGGTTGGCCCTTCTCCGAGAGCGGCCGTCAGAGATGAGGAAGGCGTCCGCCGTGTAGCTGCTGCTGTCCGACTCGGTGGTCATGCCTGAGCAGGGGCTGTCGGGCTGCTCCATGTCATGGTCGGAGTAGTCCTCCCCCCCGCTGCCCCCGGTGCTCCCTGGGGAGTACAGGGGCCCCGCGGAGAGCCCGGTCTGCCTCCTCGACCCCTTTGTGCTCTGGCATATTGAGGGGATGACGTAATCCTGGATGTAGCCTGTAGCATGTTTGGAAGAGAAAGATTTGGAATAAATAAAGGCATTTTTGGCAACAATTGTGGCATTTTAAATGTATAGCCTTTATACTGATTTTTACTAAATGCATTTCACAAGATATGTTTTTTGGGTCGAAGATTCTATGGTTTTATGATTCCAGACTCTTTCTGATTCCAGTTGAAAGTATATATTTTTTTTATTGTTGAGCCATTGAGTGAAAGACAGCTGATCCGAGTCATCCATGCATTGCGGATCAATATGAAACTGTTACAGGAAACCATTTGCAAATGCTTGGTTCAGCAAGCTTTGAAATTAAATATGAATGACTCTTCAGTGCACCGTTTTGCACCGATCAATACTCATCCGGCTCAAAACAAGGCTTGCATCCCAAATGGCACCCTATTCCCTATATAGTGCACTACTTTTGACCAGGGCCCATAGGGTCCCCCATAGGGCTCTGTTCAAAACTAGTGCCCTATGTAGGTAACAGGGTGCCATTTGGGACACATACGAGGACTATCATTGTTTAGCTATATCAAAAAGACCATCACAGACGAAACGCAAGTTCTATGCACTGACATGGACACAACAGTCATAAAATGAAACACACTTGTTAGTTCTCCACAACTGATCCACCTGTCGCCATCCCATCCCATGCCACCATATCTAAATCTGTTATCGTAGTGGGGGCCAAAACAAAACAATGTCTCAGTAGAGAAATCCCCCAAAGCCCTAAATCATTTTAATCAGATCATTCTCCATCTGTGGCGTGTTGAAAGTGCCTGTGAGTATGGTAATGGCTAGATTGAATGACAGGTGCAGTGTGATTTGGGGATGGGAATGGAGAGGGGGAGGCGAAGGGGGGTTATAGGCTGATCTTGACAGCAGTGCACAATATATTGTGCTCCCCCTTGCAACACAAAGGGAACCAGACAGCTGGCATCCTAATTCTGGGGACAAATGATCCGGCGAGCCAAAGCTCTGTAGTTATGATGGACATTCCACTAACAACACACCACACATTTCTATGGAAGTGTTTTTCCCTGAAATCACAGCATCAATTGACAAAACCTCATGTACATCTAAAGTTGATTGTACTCTCCTCTCGTTTTTTGTATCAATTCTGTGACATGATAAATTAATGATGTTACATAAAGCATGTTGCCCTTTTCCATTTAAGGTTATATTTTCTAATGAATGCAATTTCTTTACCATTTTACATTGTTTTTTTCTGATAAACTGATACAACTCAGTGTCTTTTGTCAATGGATTTTAGAGAGAGAAAGAGAGGGATTGAATTGCTACAATTCGACCCCCTGTGGGTATCTAGCATCCTGTAAGATCAGATGGGATGAAGGGATGTGGAGATAGAGGGATGGAGAGATGGTGTGTGTGGGGGGGGGGGGGGGGGGGGGGGGGGGGGGGGTAGATAACAGGGAACAACTCAAGGGCAACAGCACCAGCTAAGGACAAACCAGTTACATGTGGATATCTGCTTTCTGGTGGTGTTGGTGTAGAGGTTTTAGACCTCACAAAGGCTTGGATGGGATTTTGAGCCTAATGCACGCATCCATGTACATGTACACAATAGTATTAAAGCCAAAGCCTGTTGTGTGATCTGCTCGGTATTAAACTGATTGGTCCAGAGTGACCTGAATACTATTTAGCATCACTGGAGGCATGGGGTGGACTGGGGAGGGGTGGGGGGAAAGGGGGTGGGGGGATTAAATAGCAAACACAACATCACAGGCTTCATGGCAGAAGGAAAAACATGGATCAAGGGGTTGGTCCGTTTATTTAGATTCTTTATAAAAGTATGTTTTTCATTCAATTCCTGAACAAATACACTATTGAAAAAAATCTAAAACCTACAACTCTAATCTTTATACAATAAGCACAATAACAATGAAAATTTGCTTTTTTTACTACATGTTTGCAATGTGTAGACAGAAATGTTAAGGAATCTTGACTCACCATTTTCACTCAAACGGACCGCCAAGTTGGTGGCGGACTCGGTGATGGCACGTGTGAGCGTGTACGATCCGTCTGAGTAATGCTGATGATTGGAAGAGGAGGAGAAATCGTGGACCTTCAGTTGCTTCACCAAAAAGGAACGTGGCATTTTCTTGACGGGCTGGTCCTAATACCACATATGAAGAAAAAAACAACACAGGAAAAAGCCAAAGACCCGCACGCTACTTTAGGACAGCCCTTTAGAAAAGGCCCCAAGTCAAAGAAAGACAAAATGGAGGTGAATGATGCCAAATGATGCTCTGAGATTTCCCTCACTACTAAAACTCCCAGGCCTGAATAGTCTGAATGCCAGAAAGAACGGAAACAGAAAGAACAGAAGAGAAAGAGCGGAAGAGAAAGTGCTAGGGAAAAGTGAAAGCCAAAGGAGAAAGAAAAGACAGAGGAAGAAAGAAAGTGGAGACAGAGAGATAAAGACAGTGTAAGAGAGAGGAGAGGAGATGGCTAGACTAGCTGAGCTCAGCACTAGCGCAGGCTTTTATATGGGGCACGAACCCCCAAAGATCAGGTGGTGCCTTTGGAAAAGGGAGCCTACTTAGCATTAATCCATCAAACATCCCCGGGGACACACATCAAATTACCACGAGCCGTCTGTGCATCCCCGCACACACACACTGCAGCCAACCCCAGTCAACTCCCCCTCCTCTCACCCCATCTCTTTCACCCCTTCATCGCTCCACTCACACAGAGAGAGAGCAGACAATAGCACCGCTGAAGCATGTAGGTGACACTACACACAACATCTTGTCCCCTATTGTCTTCCAATGAAGTAGCTAACACAGTTTATTGCTGACTGCCCCCGAAAAAACTGTTATGTGCCTCTTCCTCCCCACCTTCTGATATTTTAATCTTCAAAGGCTAAATGCTGATTAAAATAATTTGATTTCATAATTATAATCTTCTTTTATAATGTATTTATATGATTATATAAGTGGGGATATTAATTTTAACAAATGGCACTATACAGTGGCTTCGGAAAGTATTCACACCCCTTGACTTTTTCTACATTTTGTTGTGTTACAGCTTGAATTTAAAATGGATTAAATAGAGATTTTTTGCCACTGGCCTACACACAATACCGCATAATGTCAAAGTGGAATTATGTTTTCTGACATTTTTACAAATTAATTAAAAATGAAAAGCTGAAATGTCTTGAGTCAATAAGTATTCAATCTTTTGGTTATGGCAAGCCTAAATAAGGTCAGGAGTAAACCTTTGCTTAACAAGTCACATAATAAGTTGCATGGACTCACTCTGTGTGCAATAATAGTGTTTAACATGATTTATGAATGACTACCTCATCTCTGTACCCCACACATACAATTATCTGTAAGGTCCCTCAGTCGAGCAGTGAATTTCAAACACAGATTCAACCACAAAGAAGGGCACCTATTGGTAGATGGGTAAAAAAAAGCAGACATTGAATATCCCTTTGAGCACGAAGAAGTTATTAATTACACTTTGGATGGTGTATCAATACAGCCAGTCACTACAAAGATACAGGTATCCTTCCTAACTCAGTTGCCGGAGAGGAAGGAAACCACTCAGGGATTGCACCATGAGGCCAATGGTGACTTTCAAACAGTTACAGAGTGTAATGGCTGTGATAAGAGAAAACTGAGGATGGATCAACAACATTGTAGTTTCTCCACAATACTAACTTAATTGACAGAGTGAAAAGAAGGAAGCCTGTACAGAATAAAAATATTCCAAAACATGCATCCTGTTTGCAACAGGACACTAAAGTAAAACTGCAAAAAAAATTGGTAAAGCAATGAACTTTTTGTCCTGAATACAAAGTGTTATGTTTGAGGCAAATCCAATACAACTCATTACTGAGTACCACTTTCCATATTTTCAAGCATAGTGGTGGCAGAATCATGTTATCGGTATGCTTGTAATCGTTAAAAAGAAACAGAATGGAGCTAAGCACAGGCAAAATCCTAGAGGAAAACCTTGTTCAGTCTATTTTGAATTCAGGCTGTAACACAACAAAATGTGGAATAAGTCAAGGGGTATGAATACTTTCTGAAGGCAGATGCTTTAAAATGTGATTGTAGCTATCGCCCATACAGATTGAATTAGATGTAAAGAACGGAGTGTGTCATATTGTGATATGTATCCTTCGAGCATAAACTACTTCTGAATTTGATATATTGTTTACATACATTTTACATTCACATACTTGACATTTCCGAGATACTGCCATCAGTGCCGCCATTACAGCTGCTATTTTTCACATTTTTATGTCCATATAAGAATCTCTTATCCCCCACGTCAACCTCCTCAATGGTCCCCGTGGTGACTTCCGGCCTGGCGGCTGTGACCGGTTGACTCCTGTGTGAACGGCGGGGCGACGGTGTCACTCTCCGTAGGGGCAGCAGGGGGGACTCGGCTTAACCAAGGTCTGGACTGTGAGGACACACTCACACACAGATGGGTTTATTGATTTCAAAGGTACAGTTGGACTGAATCGTGGATATGTGGCTTGAAAAGTATTTGGATGGATTTCTGCTAATACACAAACAGAAGAGAAAGTTTACTCCAATTAGGGGAGGGGTGGTAGGGTTAGAAAGTAATAAAATAAAATATATATTTTTAAAGGATTTGTATATATACAGTCGTGGTCAAAAGTTTTGAGAATGACACAAATACAAATTTTAACAAAGTCTGCTGCCTCAGTTTTGATGATGGCAATTTGCATATACTCCAGAATGTCATGAAGAGTGATCAGATTTTACATTTTTACATTTTAGTCATTTAGCAGACGCTCTTATCCAGAGCGACTTACAGTCCCTCTTTGACATGAAAATGAACTTAATCCCAAAAACAACTTTTCCACTGCATTTCAGCCCTGCCACAAAAGGACCAGCTGCCATCATGTCAGTGATTCTCTCGTTAACACAGGTGAGAGTGTTGACGAGGACAAGGCTGGAGATTCAGTCATGCTGATTAAGTTAGAATAACATACTGGAAGCTTTAAAAGGAGGGTAGTGCTTGAAATCATTGTTCTTCCTCTGTTAACAATGGTTACCTGCAAGGAAACACATGCCGTCATCATTGCTTTGCACAAAAAGGGCTTCACAGGCAAGGATATTGCTGCTAGTAAGATTGCACCTAAATCAACCATTTAGAACTTCAAGAAGAGAGGTTCAATTGTTGTGAAGAAGGCGTCAGGGCGCCCAAGAAAGTCCAGCAAGCGCCAGGACCATCTCCTAAAGTTGATTCATCTGCGGGATCGGGGCACCACCAGTGCAGAGTTTGCTCAGGAATGGCAGCAGGCAGGTGTGAGTGCATCTGCACGCACAGTGAGGCGAAGACTTTTGGAGGATGGCCTGGTGTCAAGAAGGGCAGCAAAGAAGCCACTTCTCTCCAGGAAAAACATCAGGAACAGACTGATATTCTGCAAAAGGTACAGGGATTGGACTGCTGAGGACTGGGGTAAAGTCATTTTCTCTGATGAATCCCTTTTCCGATTGTTTGGGGCATCCGGAAAACACCTTGTCCGGAGAAGACAAGGTGAGCGCTACCATCAGTGCTGTGTCATGCCAACAGTAAAGCATCCTGAGACCATTCATGTGTGGGGTTGCTTCTCAGCCAAGGGAGTGGGCTCATAAACAATTTTGCCTAAGAACACAGCCATGAATAAAGAATGGTACCAACACATCCTCCGAGTACAACTTCTCCCAACCATCCAAGAACAGTTTGGTGGCGAGCAATGCCTATTCCAGCATGATGGAGCACCTTGCCATAAGGCAAAAGTGATAACTAAGTGGCTCGGGGAACAAAACATCGAAATGTTGGGTCCATGGCCAGGAAACTCCCCAGACCTTAATCCCATTGAGAACTTGTGGTTGATCCTCAAGAGGCGGGTGGACAAACAAAAACCCACAAATTCTGACAAACTCCAAGCATTGATTATGCAAGAATGGGCTGCCATCAGTCAGGATGTGGCCCAGAAGTTAATTGACAGCATGCCAGGGCGGATTGCAGAGGTCTTGAAAAAAAGGGTCAACACTGCAAATATTGACTCTTTGCATAAACTTAATGTAATTGTCAATAAAAGCCTTTGACACTTATGGAATGCTTATAATTATACTTCAGTATACCATAGTAACATCTGACAAAAATATCTCATAACACTGAAGCAGCGAACTTTGTGAAGACCAATACTTGTTTCATTCTCAAAACTTTTGACCACGACTGTAGAGTACCAGTCAAAAGTTTGGACACACCTACTCATTCAAGGGTTTTTCTTTATTTTTTTTACAGTTTTTGACATTGTAGAATAATAGTGATTGAGATTTTTCAAACAGCCACCCTTTGCCTTGATGACAGCTTTGCACACTCTTGGCATTCTCTCAAGCTTCATGAGGTAGTCACCTGGAATGCATTTCAATGAACAGGTGTGCCTTCTTAGAAGTTAATTTGTGGAATTTATTTCCTTTTTAAAGCGTTTGAGCCAATCAGTTGTGTTGTGACAAGGTAGGGGGGTATACAGAAGATAGCCCTATTTGGTAAAATACCAAGTCCATATTATGGCAAGAACAGATCAAAAAAGCAAAGAGAAACGACAGTCCATCATTACTTTCAGACATGAAGGCCAGTCAATACGGAACATTTCAAGAACTTTGAAAGTTTCTTCAAGTGCAGTCGCAAAAACCATCAAGCGCTATGATGAAACTGGCTCTCATGAGGACCGCCACAGAAATGGAAGACCCAGAGTTAAGTTAAGTTCATTAGAGTTACCAGCCTCAGAAATTGCAGCCCAAATAAATGCTTCACATAGTTCAAGTAACAGACACATCTCAACATCAACTGTTCAGAGGAGACTGTGTGACTCAGGCCTTCATGGTCGAATTGCTACAAAGACACCACTACTAAAGGACACCAATAAGAAGAAGAGACTTGCTTGGGCCAAGAAACACCAGCAATGGACATTAGATCGGTGGAAATTTGTCCTTTGGTTTGGAGACTTTTGGTTCCAACCGACGTGTCATTGTGAGACGCGGTGTGGGTGAACGGATGATCTCCTCATGTTTATTTCCCACCGTAAAGGATGGAGGAGGAGGTGTTATGGTGTGGGGGTGC